TTCGAAGCAAAGGAGCCTGCAGCAGGATCTGGTCCTCACAAACGGCAGGCTGCAAGCTGGCCGGGAGGAAAGGCTTAGGGAGGGTTTATAGGGAAATACAGGATCTAACCTGTTTTGCCAGGAATTGTTTACCTGGCACCAGCCTCCCCCACGGCGTCTTCAGGGTGGTACCAGGTTTCTGAAACAATAGGCTAAGAAGGGAGGAGAGGAGGTTTGCAGAAGAGAAGAAAAAGGTGACTTTGAAATCGAGCTTCCCTGAAGCATTAGTGTAGCCATTTTGATTTTTGTTCAACTTTATCCTTTTAAGCAGTTTCAGTTCCTTTGCAGTATTTTACAACCGCTGACACCTATTTCTGGCTTATTACTGTACTGGTCTGAGAGTTCAAATGTAAACTAGTAATATTTGGTTTTAAAACATGGCTTCATATTTAGTATTTGAAGACTTCTTTACTTTCCTCTCTCAAAGCATGCCTAGCTATTCTTGCATATGTTTTCTTTAAGATAAAATTTGGAACAATTTTACCAACCCTTTGACAATGTGATTGGACTTCCACTTAACAGATGGACTGGTTTGGGAAGGGACGTGTCTAAAATATTTATTATCTAGGACCACAATGTAGTTTTCCCCCCTTCAGGTCTATTTGTCCCACGCACATCTTGAGTTTGAACATTTTTCTGAGTTTGTTGCTGTGATGAATGAGACATAATCCCATTATATTGTGAAACCTTTTTTTAATTTTTGCTTGAATATAGAAAAACTTAATTTTTGAATATCTGGATATTGGTTAATTTTATAAAAACCCTAAGACCAGATTTTCTGGGCTTTCTATTTGGACGAACATATGATCTGCAGTAACGAAAACCGTCTTTTCTTTCCCAATAGTTCTAAGTCATTTTAAGTTTCGATTGCATCAAAACATATTAAATCAATATGCTGATGACAATCCCTGAAAATGTTAAGAAAGCACACATTAGTTAAATTTTTGACAAGCAGGCTTGTAAATTTTTTTTAATGTTTATTTTTCAGAGAGGCAGAGCGTGAGTGGGGGAGGGGCAGAGAGAGAGGGAGACACAGAATCCAAAGCAGGCTCCAGGCTCTGAGCTGTCAGCACAGAGCCCGACACGGGGCTCGAACTCACAAACTGTGTGATCAGGACCTGGGCCAAAGACGCTTAACTGACTGAGCCACCCAGGAGCCCCAAGAATTAATATTTTTTAATCACTACTCACACACGACACTTGTTGGTTACAAAGTACCACGTTGACTACTAAATTTAAGTGCTGGTAGCTAAGGGAAAGATAATAATCTGTGGAGACATGGATTGATTTCGGAATGGCTAATTTTAATGGTGATATGCCCCGTTACTAATGCATTCGGTCATGCCCTCCGTCAAAGACTACAACCTATGGTAGTCACTCTTGCCATGAACACAGCGTGGCATTTATTTTGTATTTGACATGATGAGAAATAACTTTTATTTGTCTCAGCTAGCTACAAAAGTCCAGTTTAACTGGGCCTACGTGTGAATTAAAACATGGCTTCCTCCTCCCCTAAATAACTACGAAAGAAACCCTACTTATGTTAGTGAATTATATTCGATGGCTAACACAAATCCATGTTTAGAGACAATACTGCTTCTGTAGGGGAGCAAATTTTGCCACCCCCTAGTTTTCCTCTTTGGCATGCTGATTATTTTAAGCTGGCAATTTTTAAGAAGCTACAGACACAAGAGAAACTCTGAAAACCAAGTGCAAGTTGCCCTTTTAAGAGATATTTACATATAGAAGGGAAATCTCCTTCAGTACCAGTACCAAGAGGGCAATGACTCTAAATCTCTTGAAACTATTGTCAATGGAAAAGGCATGGACTTAAATTTGCCTAACATTAGCCTAGTTTGCTGTGCCTTTTCTGGTAGCCTCCTATAACAGACTCCCCACCCCCAACACCTTTTGTCTTTAGCTGAAGGTGATGTTTAGGGTAATGGTTTCTGCCACGGAGTTACTGTTTTCCTGGGTGTCTCCCATGTACGCAGAGGTATACCTGATATTTATTAAACTTTGTTTGCTTTTCTCTGGTTAGTCAGTCTCGCGTCAATTCGATTCTTAGACCAGCTAGAAGAACCTTCACAGGTAGAGGAAATAGTTTTCCTTCTCCACACTTCACATTTGTAAAGCTGAACAGTTGCTTACTATAGAAGCGCCTAGGTACTGCCTATAAAAGAACTGATCTTGTTCACTCTTGTTCTTATTAAGAAATATAGTAACTTGCAGTATTTCATTAACTACAATAAACCTTCCATCTCAAAATTGTAGTTTATGTTTTGCGAATGATTCCTAACCATTCCCTATACAAGACCCTAGATGACAGTAAAAGCAGTGTTTAATAACTGACATATAGGGAACAATTTAAATAATTTCTAGAACTTTCTCAAGGAACTTGAGTTTTTGCTTCCTTTTGAAACCATTTTTTTTTTTTTAATTTTTCACCTGGCTCGTCCCAGTAGTATGAATTTTATTTTATAAGATTTTATTGTTGAGTAATCTCTACACCCAACATGGAGCTCGAACTTACAACCCTGAGATCAAGAGTCATGTGCTCTGTGGACTGAGTCAGCCAGGCACCCCATGTCTCAGTAGTACAAATTTTATTAAAGTCATGCTAAAATGTATAAAAGGGAGTCACAATAAACAGATTCTATATAATCCCTATAACAGGCATTAGCAATAGGGTTACGTTCAGACATATCTCACCAAGAGCCATTCTAGAAAGTTGAGGTATCACAGTAGGTAGTTTTCATGTGAGACTTGGGGAAATGAGACTCTAAAGTCTTTATGTCTACTGTGGAGAAAAATCTCTCAAAACCTGTCCATTTAAATGCAAATCAGATGCAGTCACGCTACAAAAAGAGTGTTGAGATAAGCTTGGATATTTGTAAATTAAAAAGTTAAGACTTAATCATCAATTTTGCTAAACTCCAAAATCTATCATATGATTTAAAGCAAATGGGGCACAATGTTAGCAACCAGCCATTCTAGGTGAAGGTTATATGGTGGTCATTATGGTTATATTATTTTTAACTTTCTGTAAATTTGCCAATTTTCAAAAATAAGAAATGAAAAAAACTGTTCATAAAAGACACCATGAATGAAGTAAAAACATAAGACATAGACGCAAAGTATTTGTCAATAAGTATCACTGATTTTAGAGAAAAAAAAAAGGGGGGGGACCCATCTAATAGGTAAATCCATCTACTGAGAGCATGGGAGAAACATCTGACAGGTATTGAAAGAAAAAAATGACTTAGATGGCAAGAGGCAGCACTATCATATAATGCCCTCACTGACATCATCTTGTGAGTTTCCAGTTATGTTTTTCTTGGTCCAACGTCGGCTACCCTATTTAATCATGCAAAACACAGAAGTCTACCTATTGGCACGTTTGCACGTGACAAAGGTTCAAAAAATGTGAAACATTCATTCAGGAGGGTCAGGATAACAAAGCTCTCTCCATAAAACGAGAACGTTTTCTAACTTGAAGGAATTAAAAAATGTTTTCTCAGTTGAGTGCCTGGAAACTGTTTGATATCATGACTTTGCTATGTTACCGCTTTCATTGGCTATGCTTTACAATCAAGTACGTAGTTTTGACTGTTGTTTAAAGTTTCAGCCAAATGATAAAGCGTCACATTTCCTGTTAGATCTTTGGCTGAACAGTATCAGCTTAGCAAAAGGGCACGTTTTTTTGTTTTGTGTTTTCTTTTCTCTTCTTTCTAATCTTCGTTAACTTTGAGCTAGGAGATAGCACGAGAGCAACCTCAAATCACTGGCCTTTTGGGGGAAAAGTAGAGCAAAAAACCAGTATGCTGTGAATAATACCAACACTGAAACCGTGTGCCCCAAACCTGGGGTGCCCCCCAGGATCCCCAGGCCTTCGAGGACGCATGTGGAGCAACAGCAAGAGGCTGGGTTCCGAGAGAAGGCAACCTGTAATCCAAGGGCTAAGGACCGACGGAGGGGCAGGAAGCATGAAGACGCAGGGACAGCAGAAGCCAGTCCTTCTCAAAGGGAGACACAGGTGACATTGGGACGTAAGGTCCTGGGAGGCTGGACGCAAGTGGATCCAAAGAGCAACAGCCTTGATACCCGGAAATAGTAGACTGCTGGCTAAAAACTCCTCAGAGCCCTCAGAAATTGCCCACACGTGGCCCGTTCGTGCCACTCCCCATATCTACCTTCCCCTTTCTGTCTGAGATCCCTGCACGGATTGTTATCACTTGAATCACAAAAGAGAACTGAGGCAGTCATATGGGGGCACCATGAAAACAAGGTTTTTTTTTTAAAACATGTCTTTTAATGTTTGTTTATTTTTGAGAGACAGAGTTTGGAGGGGGGGAGGGGGAGAGAAAGAGGGAGACATAGAGTCCCAGGCAGGCTCCAGGCTCTGAGCTGTCAGCACACGAGGCTGTCAGCCCGCCCGACACGAGGCTCGAACCCACAAACCGCGAGATCATGACCTGAGCCGAAGGCGGACGCTCAACCGAGCCTCCCAGGCGCCCTTGAAAACAAGTTTTTATACAGTACAGCTTGATAGCGGGGTCTGAGGAGACCGGGGGGGGGGGGGGGGGGGGGGGGAGAAAGTAGAGAAAAATATTTGGAAAAACTAAAGTGTCCTCTGTAGACACTAGAACAACAAAGATATCTTAACTTTTTAAATAACCTAAGAGATTTTTTTCTAATAAGCTAAGATGATTCACAGAATCAACTAAACTAGACACCATCACTTTCTTGTTTTAAAAAACATGTATACATTGTTGGAAGGGAAAATTAGTCAGAAATATTCATGTTCAATCAAGCCCCCTTTTTCAAGTTCCCTGAGATGACACATACTGATACACACACAGCACAATGTTACGACAAAGTTATTTACAACGATCACTTAAAGTCAAACTCCTTATGTCACCGAATGAATCCTGCAAGATAAATTATATCTTTACAATTGGTTGTTGCTACAAATTTATTCAGATCAAGAAAACTGTCGTATTTAAAGCTCTCAAAGTAATTTTGGCACAGACGAAATCCTTTTGTTAAGTCCCTGAGCTCTTTTAACAGGCTGGTTTTCGCACGGTCTCTTCCCCAGCCACCCGGGCCACTCAGCGCCCGTCCTGGCCCCAAGCTAACTCTAGGTCAACATGTGATGCTATAACCTTTCTAGCCCACTGTGCTCCGGAGAAACCACAGAGCTTGGAGGATACGCACAGTTGGGAGTCCCCACCCCCAAGGGCGCCCCCTAGAGTTTCTCGGATGTGTATGAACAAGGCAGAAGAATCGGATGGGGTGCGTCTCGTCTCACGCATGGGTTTTATTTCTCAAGTTGCCTACGATGAAGAGTCAGCGTTTCAGTGTCTCCAGGGCTTTATGCCGCAGATGCTCATCCAAACACTGGATGGCAAAGAGGTCAATGTCCGTGTCAAACTTGTTGGCAAACAAGTGGTGCTTGCGTAGCATCCAGTTCAAGTCACCTGCTCCGAAGACACACACAGAACGCACGTGGACCCCGCTGCAGGGCGGGTAGGGGGCCCCCTTGGAGACATCACCTTCAAAGTACTGCCACTTGACGAACCTCGCGATCGCGTGCATGTCAGACATGTCATACTTCTGGCTTAGGGACAGTGAGCCTGGGACTTCGGGGATCCTCTGGATAGTGGCCCAGAGATACTCATCTGGACTGTAGGTGTCTTTGGCCCACTCCATAAACTTCTGGATCTTTTCATTCTCTAGCACATAGCCCACATACTTCCTACTGACCACAAAATAGGCACTGCCTGAGAACAGGGGCGTTTCAAGAGGAGGGTGCATTTTGTCCGTCCCCGTGTTGGTCAGCTTTCCGTTAACAACTGTATAATGCTTTTTCCACCTTTCTTTTTTATTGGATGGCATTCTCTCGGACTCTAGGTTGTTTTCACCCATTAACGATTTGAGCTTCCGGACAATCTCCAGGTTGGTTTTAATAGGGAAATCCATGCCGCAAAGATTTATCAAGTACCTCCAGTCTGCACTCATCCTGTAGAGGTCTTGCATGCAGTTGAGGTCGGCCTGAACCCGACTCCAAGAGGCATACACCACGCTCTCCAGCTGACTGGCCACGAAGACGTTACTGAAGCAGGAGGCGATGCCCATCACCGCGGCCAAAAAGGAATCCTCTGATTTTCTGTCCACGTGAATGCAGTAGAGATTCTGAGGCATATAGATGGCCCTCAGGAGCCTGTCAAGCATTTCGATTTTGTGATGAACCACTATAGAATACGCAATGGGAAACTCCGCCTCTTCTTTACTAAGGGGCTCTACGATATATTTGCGCCTCTTGATGAAAGAATTGCAATCTCTGGTCATGTTTATATAGTCGCTGGTTGTCCACCGAGGGCGCTGCCTAAATTTCACCGTTAGAATTTCAAGCTGTACCTTTTGGATTTCATCGACATCCCCCCGTAAAATTTTGGTACAATTAATATTACTATTAGGATTCTCCCCAACCAGCTCCAAATGCCCAACACTTACAAATTCGGGCTTTTGATTAATTCTTAAAACAGAGAAGGTGACTAGGGAAAACACAAGAAGCAAGAAGCAGTACTTAGTGGGATAAGAGAAAAGTCTCCTTCGCAACAACTTTCTCAGCATTTCAGACAAGGATCGAGGATTTTCCTTAATTGAGGGCAGTCTTCCAGGCTTCAACCAGTCATGATTCCCCTTCTGTCGTGGCCTCGAGAGGGGTCAGTTTGCATCTGTCAAAACGGCAAAGGCATCTTGAAATGGAGAATGGCGCTAAAAGAAAAACAGAAGGAATATATATAAAGGTGGTCTTTGCCGACATCTTCTCAGGTTTAAAAACCATCCTCTTGGCTAGGTCAGATGTTTAAAATAGAACCAAATTGGCCAATGAGAGGAAAAGGACAGTGTCAGAAGAAACACACCGTCTGTAATCTTAATACTAGATTAGTAAAAAAGAATTCAAGGGGGGGTGCCTGGCTGGCTCAGTTGGTAGAGCATGCAACTTTTTTTTTTTTAATGTTTGTTTATTTTTGAGAGGGAGAGAGACACAGCGTGAGCAGGGAGGGTCAGAGAAGAGAGACGGAGAGAATCCCAAGCAGGCCCCGCACGGGCAGTGCGGAGCCGGATGCGGGGCTTGAACCCACTAACCGCGAGATCATGACCTGAGCGGAAATCAAGAGTCGGGCGCCTAACTGACGGAGCCAGCCAGGCGCCCTGAGCAGGCAACTCTTGATCTCAGGGTTTTGAGTTCGAGCCCCATGTTGGGTGTAGAGATTGCTTAAAAATAAAATCTAAAAAAAATCTATGTATAAAGATGTGCTAGAATGTCCTATAATAAACATTTTACCTCTCAGGAATATTGAAGTACAAATCAGAGTTGAAGACCTAAGCTATAATTATTTTAACTCTCCACAGTTGGTGAGGTGAGTTCCTGCTCTCCCCTCTTAGTTTTATTAGCACCCTTTGCCTTGAAATCATTACTAATCTGGGTTCCTCCCGAACACTGGTGGTTCTGCTCCTCACCAGTTTGGGACTGGAGGTGCTCTTAAGGAGAAGTTCAAAAATAGCTGTGACCTTTAAAGACTCACGGGGGGGAAAAACAAGCCCACTGAATTGTCAAACTAAACCAGAAAGGCCTGATTTGGGCCTGTTTTGAACACCTCTCCTAGTCCCATACCATGGGACCACAGGAAGAGAGGACACACACAGTCCAAACTAGGGACACGGTTGCCTTTCCTGCAACGCTTTTCACAGGTTAGAATGATTAAGGCTTGTGAAAAACAAGTTGTATACAAACGATAACGTATGACAGGCCTTTTGTCTAGATTCCAACGAGGAACCTGGCCCATTTTTATTATGTTTACAAGGATTACCAAGTATGTTTTGTTTGCAAAAATCAATTTCATAACTTGGTAATCACTTCTATAACTAATAAGGGCTACTGCTCTTTTTTTCTTTGAAGATTTTATTTTACTTGTTTATTTTTGAAAGCTTACTTATTTTGAGGGAGAGAGAGCGAGCACGTAGTGGGGGTGGGCAGAGAGAGGGAGAGAGACAATGCCAAGCAGGCTCCACGCCGTCCGCACAGAGCCTGACGTGGGCCTTGATCCTACAAACCTCGAGATTACGACCTGGGCCGAAATCAAGAGCTGGATGCTCAATGAACTGAGCCACCGAGGTGCCCCTAAGGTTTTTTTTTTAAGTAATCTCTACAACCATCGTGGAACTTGAACTTACAATCCGAGATCAAGAGTCCTACGCTCTACTGCCTGAGCCAGCCAGGCGCCCCCAAGTGCTGCTGTTCTAACAAAGAAAGTCAAATAATATCGATCGTCTCCATACCAGAGTTGGAGATCTGAAACTGGTTTTTGTTTTCTTGAAATTGTTTTTTAAGACCAGTTAGCACTAGAACTAAAAGTTCTAACTAAAAGACTAGATTAACACTAGAACTTTTAAATATTTAGTTAGCAAATAAATTGTGAATATTAACAACAGAAATAAAAATAAACAACTGGCCGTTATTAGTATAACGTTATGAAAAGTATTTAGATTTTTTTTTTTTTTTTGCCATTTAGAATTAAAGAAAGTCTGGCTTACTTAGTTCTCACATTCCAGGTAACAGCGTTTGTAGAGGGCCTCTCCCGCAGTCAGGCTTCTTAAATGTACCAGGCATTTAGCGATGGTGCTATGCCCCACGAGGCTTTTTAAAAAATCTGTGAAACGAAAAGGGAAATACGTGAACGGATGTAACACACACGTAAGTGTACATACACATAAGCATGCTGGTGAACTAATCCTACGTATTCACTTTTTGTTTCTCCAAATTATGGCTGGTTCACTTTTCTCTTTTAAAATTTCTTTCCCGCCAGTCTTGTTTTCCTAATGCTTGTTGTGTATGGCTCAAGTTTGAAAATATTTGCAATTTGGGTCAAGCTTTTCCAAAAAAAAACAAAACCTCTAGTAGCATGTCCCAAAGTGGGTGCCAAGGAATAGTTTAATGGTCAAATATGATTGGAAAATTCAATATGTTTTACCCTCCCCCCCCAGCCCCCCCCACCGGGGAAGATATCTGTGCTCACTGGCCCATTAAAGACAACCTTGTAATTGAGTTAGCGGCTTAGTTCATCTTCTTGCAAGTATCTCCTCCACCACCACCTGACACCAGATCTGTATTCAAGAAACATGGTGGGGGGGGGAGGGGGGGAGCCTGCTAAAATACTTAAGCATCGCAACCGCTTAGACATCAGGTCATATAAACAAACTGATGCCACTAAGCAGTTCCTACCCTTTCCCGGCTCAGACATTTGAGGCAGTCTCTATGCAACCACTAAACGATCTGATCTCTAAGCTAAATGAACAGAGAAACTGAAGTGGCCTCACACTACAAAGAAAATAAACTTTTGAAAAGTAACCTAGAAAAGTCGGTAAACAAAAGGGCAACAATGACAAACCTTGGGCAGGGTCCCTGGACAGAGGTCTGACTTCCGGAGTTAACACATTATAAAATGTCCCTTTGCAACAACAAAAAGAAATTACAAGACACAGCAAGAAACACACAAGTCTGGCCCAGATACAGGAAAAAAGCAGTCAATTAAAAACTGTCCCTGAGAAAGTTGGGGCATTGGACTTCAAGACTTTAAGTCAGCTATTAGAAGTATATTCAAAGAACCAAAAAACTGAAAGAAAGGATGAGAATGATATTTAACCAAACTGAGAATCTCAATAGAGAGAAAAATTATAAAGAAAAAACCCAACCGCAATGTGGAATTCAAAAGTACAATGACTGAACTGAAGACGTGTCTAGAAGGGCTCCGCAGCAGGTGTGAGCTAACAGAAGAAAAAATCAGTGGAACTGAGCAGAGGTCAAATGAGAGTATCCAGTATGAAGAACAAAAAGAAAAAAGGCACAAGAAAAATGAACAGAGGGGGCCCCTGGGTAGCTCAATGGGTTAAGTGTCCCGACATTGGTTCAGGTCATGATCTCACAGTGAGTTCGAGCCCTGCACTGGACATTTTGCTTTCATTGCAGAGCCTGCTTCGGATCCTCTGTTTCTGCACTCCCCCCTCCCGCCCCCCATCCCTCCCCTGCTCGTGCTCTCTCTCTCCAAAAAATAAATCTTAAAAAAAAAAGAGAGAGAGAGAAAAATGAATAGAGCCTCATAGACCTGTGAGATACTATTAAGCATATTAACAGGTGCACAATAGAACTTGCAGAAGAAAAGGTGGGGGCGGGGGGGGGACAGGAAACAGGGGAGAGGTAGAAAAAAATATTTAAATAATGCCGAAAACTTCCCCAATTTGATTTAAAAAAACTAATCTACGCACTCAAGAGGTGTAATGAGCTCCAAGTATGCAAAATGGTACAATCGTTTTGGCAGTTTGGTCGTTTCTTACAAAGCTAAACATAGGCTCATCTTTCAACATAGTGATCATGTTCCTAGGTTTGTTTGATGGTCTAAGACAATGGCCTATGCTGGACAATGTTCTGTGTGTTCTTGAGAAGACTGTGTATTTTGTTGATGTTGGGTGAATTGTTCTACAGATGTCCATTAGTCTAGTTGGTTTATATTATAGTTCAAGTTTTCTTGTTGACGTTCTTCCTTCTATCCATTTCATAATTATGAAATGTCCTTCTTTGTCTCTAATAGTTTTTGTTTTTTTTTAATTTTTTTTTCAACGTTTATTTTATTTTTGGGACAGAGAGAGACAGAGCATGAACAGGGGAGGGGCAGAGAGAGAGGGAGACACAGAATCGGAAACAAGCTCCAGGCTCTGAGCCATCAGCCCAGAGCCTGACGCGGGGCTCGAACTCATGGACCGCGAGATCGTGACCTGGCTGAAGTCGGACGCTTAACCGACTGCGCCACCCAGGCGCCCCAATAGTTTTTGTTTTAAAGTCTATTTTGTCAGATATTTGTATAGTTACCCTAGCTCTTTTTGGGTATTTGTCTGCATGGTGTATACTTGCATTCTTTTACTTCAACCTAATTGTGTCTCTAAATCTAAACCATGTCCCTTGTAGATATCCTATAGTTGGATTACTTTTTAAAAATCGATATTGCTGATCTCTGATTGGAGATCTTAGTCCATTTACATTTAATCTGCCACTTAAAAAAAAAACTTATTCTTTTCGGAGAGCACAAGGTGGGGAGGGGCGCAGAGAGGGGTACAGAGGATCCGAAGGTGGGCTCTGCACAGACAGTCTGACAGCAGTGAACCTGAAGTGGGGCTTGTACTCACAAACCATGAGATCATGACCAAGCTGAAGTCGGACGCTCAACCGATTGAGCCACCCAGATGCCCCTAATCTGCCATTTTGCTATGTGACCCAAACACACACCAAGGCTTCCTCACCCAGAGTCTACTAAAGAACCTGGCAAACATTTTAGCAGGGATGAGAGAGTCTCTTAGCAGAGACAGAAAGTCTCTCCCTTGAATACAGATGCCTTTCCTGAAAGGGAAGACTTCCTTGTGGACCGACCATGAATGTTTTTAAGTAGAAAAACACAAGTTAAGAAGACATGGAAGAAAGGGCACCTGGGTGGCTCAGTCGGTTAAGCGTCCGACTTCAGCTCAGGTCACGATCTCGCGGTCCGTGAGTTCGAGCCC